CCGGTTCGACGCCGAATTCAATCAAGATCGTCATTCGCGAGAGAGGTTAACGATCCTCGAGTAGACCTCGTTCGATTCTTCGCACGAGAGAGGAAGAGACAGAACTTCGCTATTCTTGAAGCCGTAGTAAATTCAAAGCTGAGACCCGAATATATATCCGTGTCTTACGCGCTGTTCCGTAACCGTTCAGATTCCTGAATATTTAGGAAGTACCCAAATGCCTAGGTTTTTTTTACTCGACCGACTAAATCGTAGATTAAAATTTTAATCAATAGTTAGTAGCGCGAATTAAAGAGCGCGAAGAAAAGCGAGTCGTACATAAAGGGCAATTTTTGTTGGGTTGGTGTAAAAGATTTGTCATTTTTCTTTTTTAAATTCTCATCACAAGTTTAGTTATTAAAAGGAAAATAGAAAATCCTCGTTAAATATTTAAAAACATACCTAGTCGATATTATTCATTACGTTTGTAAAAATTACACTGGTTTAATTAATAAAAAATGATCTATGTAATATTTTTATGCTCACTTGAAAATGCAAACATATCTTTTTTACATCTAAGGTTTTCCAATGATTTGATTTTTAAGTTTCAGGTTGTTTTTCTTTATATACAGACATAGGATTCATTAGAAGTTACAAGTGCTTTGAAGCGCCGTATGGACTAATCGTTGCTTTTCCTTAAACACTTTAAAGTATTTGTAGTGTCTAATGGATCGCATCCATGATTTATCTAATTTTTTATAGATAAATATATTGGTTAAATGGAGAGTTTTTTAATGGAATATATTTAATATTTATAGGTAATATTTATGGATCGCATCCATGATTTATCTAATTTTTTATAGATAAATATATTGGTTAAATGGAGAGTTTTTTAATGGAATATATTTAATATTTATAGGTAATATTTATGGATCGCATCCATGATTTATCTAATTTTTTATAGATAAATATATTGGTTAAATGGAGAGTTTTTTAATGGAATATATTTAATATTTATAGTGTTTTGATATAAAAATTAGAATTAAAAATTTAGAATTAAATTGAATTGGGAATTGCGCGTATATATAGAGTATTCTATATACAACTTCTATATACAACGTATTAAATGTCAGATGATCATCAGAAAAAAAATTGTGGGTGATAGAGAAATTCTGAGTTCGTTTTCGGATTCTATACATTACAATACGAAGCAAAAGAGAAACGCATCTGAAATTCTATATAACAAATTATTCGTTGACCAGTAATGATTAAATAATTTCGTTTTTTATTTTATTTGACGAACACGACAAATTTTTTGTAATTATAAATCGAGTATTTTTTTCCTCGATATTATTAATGCGAATTAAAAAGCGCGAAGAAGGATGAGTCTCGCGTAAACTTCAATTTCTATTCTCTTCTACGTCCGGGACGAGCGATGACTTTCCGAAGTGCGTTATTCATATTCGTGCACGACCGTGTCCAATTCCGGATTTTCCTCGTTTAACGCGAAGACGAATGTAAGGGCAATCGGCTAACGACGAAGTCCACGTCGTCGCCATTAAAAATACCAGTCCGCTATTGCGTCCGCGAATACAGTCAGCCGACGATGATTGATAACTCCCGTGGCTATCGTCAACGGGATCGCTACTTTGTTTCTACGAGTCTGTAGCTCCGTAATTATAACATCAACGGCGAAACAGAAGTTAGCTAATCGCACTTGGGTAACGGTCGGTCCGAGGGGAGACCCGTGCGAACGACGGGCTCGAGAAGAAGGGACCGTTCGAGGATCGGCGAACTTTCGGACGTCCCTCGACGGTGGATTTCACGACAGGCCTGTCAAGGAAATCATCGCGCCTAGAATCCGCGGTCTAACATCCGTGGCGGCGGCGGCGGGGTTCTTGAACCCGGCGATATCGTGCCGTGGCCGGCGAACTGGTGAAAGTTTGCGAAGAAAGCTGCGGCGCCTCTCTCTTCTCTCTTTCTCTGTCTCAACGACCGAGGGAGAGGGAGAGAGAGAGAAAGAGAAGAGGAGCGAGCAAACGAGCGAGCCCGCGTTCGGTTCATCATGAACGGTCTGGCGTGCCATTGCGTCCGTTCGATTCATCTGCTCGTGAGAGAGAGGCCATTGACATCGCTCGTTCGTTCGTTCAGATTGTCAAGATCGTGTAACGACTCTCTCGCGTGACGCGTGTTCACGAAAGATCCAGCCTCGTGACGCTCGATGATTCCGCTGCTCCGTGATATCCGGGATGAGTCTTCATCGCGATGATTTTATCGGGAGATTATTTATTTGCGGGACGCTGTTGCGTGTCGAAGCATTCCTGGTAGAGATGTGTGCAGTTTCAAGTATTAAGTGTTAATGCATTCTCGTTAGTCGTAAATATACTGCGTAGGGATGAAACTTTATCCAGTGGTTGACTGATTCTTTCCAAGGCACAGTATCATGTAACATTAATACAGAGTTTTAATATGCACGTATTATGTTTATTGTGAGTAACTTTAAAACGTATTTATTTACATTGTTAAAACGAAGCTTGAAGTTTTGTGAACAATGAATGGACATGTAGAAAAACGTAGAAGAAGGAAATTTGAGGAAATAGAGCAGTATTATATATATATAATATACGCTCTTCACTGTCCAGCTTTACGTATCGCTTACCGTTGCCAAGAAATTGGTCATCCCAATCAGTTGATTTAGATGATGAGACTCCACCTTAGACGAGCTTAAAGAACTCTCCCACCGCATCAAACGCACTTATTTACTCCAATTTTCTATCATTAATCCCGAACATATATTCATGTGGATGTTTGCAAAATGGCAGGGGACTTTTTCGTTCTCAATTTGACGAGTTCTGCTTGCACACAAGAGGACATGCCATACAAATTTTGTATCAGGCAAATATTTACGCTAATTGACAACTCGAAATGTCAATTTTGAAATTTTGTATTGTTTTCATCGCATATTGAGTAATGTTCTAATGCATTTTCACTTATATTGTATAAAAGCATTTGTAATTTTTTGCAATCAATATAATGCAAATTTTTCCAAAAAAAAATAAGATTTTGTCAGTAAAGTGTGGCATCCCTTTAAATATCTTCTCATTTATTAAATTGTACTTTTTATGTACGTTTAAAAGACTAAAAAATGTCCCGGCACATGCGACATATATCATCAGTATTATCATCTCCCACCCCCTCCTCCTGCAAGAAATTATATCCGCTAAGAGATTTTTGTCGACAGAAAATATCCACGCTAAATTTCTGAAAAAATACAAATGTTAACGTCCACATCTCATACACATATACACATACAAACGCGCATTTTGCGTGACTTAAGTATCACAGAAAGTAATTGTTTCACATGCTGTTACGCCCTCAATCGTTTCGCTGTATCGCGAGCGGGGAAAGTGCAACGACAAATTTTACCGCGAACGATAAGATTATTATCTGATAATTCTGAAGTGTCTGCCGCCAGATATCTGACTATTTGCGCGTCGCCGTTACAATTGATTTACAAATAGAAGCGCGCGCCTCCAGGAGGCGGCACGTTCTCGTCCGAAAAAGCGCTCGTGCCGCTTTCACGCGCGAGCTACGCCACTGCGTCGTCTCGACCGAATATCGTGGGCGACCGGGGAACTCGCATCGAAGGAGAGCTCAAAAGTTACTCAAGAGCCAAGAATATTACGTACGCGCGCGCGGTCGCGCGACTTCCGCGTTGCAGGTTGATCAACAGACGCAGCAGAGTCGCGATCGGCCGCAGCGCTCTCCTCCTCCTCCTCTCCTCCTCCACCTCCTCCGCCTCCTCCGCCTCCTTCTTCTTCTCCCCTGTGCTTCGGTTGCGCGTTATTTCGCGCTACCAAGAGACTCGAGAACGGTCGAGGCGATAGCGACGGCGATGGCTCAATCGCGGTGTCCTCTTGCTACATTGAAATACCTTGCCTTCGGGCGTGCACGTAAAAGGTTGCACGAATAGAGGAGATCTGCGACTTCGCGAGCTCCTCGCACGCAGGCTCGCGGCAGCTATCGGTCGGCAAACGAATGAAGGGCTTGGCGCAACACGTGCTTGAGACACGTTTCGGAACAAATTTCACACGACGGCACGAGGGAAAGGATCGCGTCTTCGGCGGCGGGATTTCACGCTTCTCGCTCCGCGGCTCCTCCCGAAAATTCAAATTAGCGAGGAAGAAACTCGGACAGTTTCAACGAAATTTTATGCATGGAAAAAAACGCTGTTGTGTGCTAATTGAACACCTGAACTCATTTCATAATAAAACGACCTTAATAATAAGTGAAAACTGATAATTGATAACTGAATTACATTTCCCCAAGCTTTGATTTATATGTCAAGTAGTCTCGGATCGAGTAGACACACGGCATGAGATAAGTTGACTATAGAACTGTTTCATAAGGGTTTCATAATTTGTTTCGCAAAAAATGATGTTATGAATAAAACCCACTTATGTTGAATTAATTTCAATTTTGTATTGCAATTAATTTGTGCCAGATAAATATTTACGCTAGCTTGCAGCTCGAGATGTCAACTTTGAGATTTTTTGTCGTTTTTCATCACATGTTGAGCAATGTTTCAGTTCATTCTTACACATCACTTGTACTTTCATTGTAGAAAAGCATTTATAATTCTGTGCCACCAGTATACTTTATCGGCAAAGTTCTCAAATACCTCTTCATCGAGGAAAAAATTCGGGGAACGCGCGATCAGTTTCACGTCCGATTCGATCGGAGAAGAAAGCGAAGATCTTTCGTTCTGAACGATAACGGCACGCGCAAAGAATCGAGTTAACTTGACTCACAAAGTCAGCTTGCTTCTCGCCGGTTTTCTCGAGCGATAGGATACTCTTGCGCTAATCTCCGGCGCTCTGAAAAGTGTGTTGCAAGGGTGTTAAAGCGAGCGCATGGGTCATCGCGTCGCTATAGCATAGCAATAAGCGTATTCCGTCGATAAACGACGGCTTACGAAAGCGGCGAAAGAGCTCATATCGACATTTTCTTCTTTCTCTCAGAACGCGGCTTCGCCTGGAGAGCCTAGAGGACGCGGTGATCGTGGAGAATAACGACGACAAGCTGACCGACCGCAGGGGCTGTCCGGCGTATGTCGCACCGGAAGTGCTGCGCTCCGGACGCGCCTATTCCGGCAAGGCGGCGGACATCTGGTCGCTGGGCGTGCTGCTCTACACGATGCTGGTGGGCCGTTATCCCTTCAACGATGCCGAGCACGCGTCCCTCTTCGCCAAGATCTCGCGCGGCCTGTTCGCGGTGCCGGAGGGTCTGAGTCCGCGCGCCAAGTGCCTGATCCGCTCACTGCTGAGGAAGGAGCCGTCCGAGCGACCGTACGCCGAGGACGTGCCGCTGCATCCCTGGCTGGCGAAGCCGTTGCGGATATGCGCGACTCCGGCCGGCAGGTCCTCCACGAGCCAGGACCAAGTCGTACCAGAGCTACCTACCAATCCTCGACAAGACTGACTCCCTCACGGGAAAGGAATTCTTATTATTCCGCGTGCGACCGCGTCGTCATCCTCGCGCCATCAGCCCGGTGCTTCTCTCGCGCCGACAGCCGCCGTCGGGTCGGGTTCTCGAGCCGTGAGGGGGGGAGTCACTGCAATCAAAAGACGGAGGAGCGATATGGCTTTTTCCGTTGTCTTTTTCTTCCGTCTTTCTTCGTGTTTCTTTTCTTTTCCCGACACATTGGCTGTGCTCACGCGGGACGGCCGTGAGAGAGGCTGTCTCGCGTTCCTCGCGTGTGTGCGAGATACCGGCGACGTGTTAGTTCATATCACACGTTCGAGGTGCGCGAACACATGGGGATATTTGCTCGAAGGAGTAACGTTTGAGCGGGAAATTCGTATTTAAAGATTTATTCGTATTTAAAAAGAAAAAAAAAGCGAAGAATAAATCGAAGAACATATATACTCACACCTCGACAGTCAATGTGTTTTATAACGGCAGCTGAATCACACGCATAAAACACGTGCTTTAACCCCCAGGTTCGTTCGCGAGTCGCGAGTAGAGTTTCCAAACTGCGGATTGTAAGATAATACTCGACTCGATCCTCCGCATCGCAAACGCGACGCGACGCGCGGCTAAGGATGCCTGATCCCTCTCATTTTCGCCGGCGAGGACGGCCTAGTGTAAGCTTCGAAGATAGAGAGTACCAACATCGGATGAGAATAATCGTTCTTGGTGGAATTTACACGGGGGAGAGTGTACCAAAGTCTATCCTAGGCACCAGGTGTCCGTGGTCTCCATCTCTTTCTCGTTCAGCGCTGTACAACTTGCAGTTGAACGATCGAAGCGCGCGTTGGGAACCTCTCGAATATATGAGGTCGAGTCCACTCTAGTCTTGAGACAACTCAAGGTCCGAGCGCTGAACGGTGAAGATGTAATCAAGAGGAATCCTCCACGCGAGGCGGTGTCGTAATTTTGGTCACTCTCCGCCAAACATTTCGGAGGCAACCTGACGCAAGTGACGATATATTAATACGCCTCTATCGACTAAAGAATCGTAGATTCGAGGAAACGTCGCCGTTATTGGGCCAAAATCGCGCGTTTACGCCTTGTTCGCTTTTATACGAGTACACTCGCGCTGTACTCGAGTCCCTTTGTGATAGAATCTTGCGAATTCTAAGCGACAAAAAAATGTGATACACAAATTATATGATACAGGTTGTTTCGCAAACGGGCGGATTACTTGCAGTCGTCTGTCTCTGAAGTCCATGTACGTTAATTGTTGTCGTTCAAAACGATCGAATTCGATGTTTGTATCTGCGCGTTAGACATACATCCTCCGACTTTCTCGATATTTCGCGTTTACGTCGCATCTACATAATGATTTTTACGCTATACTACTATATATATATATATATATATATATATATATATATATGTATATATAAATATATATATATATATATATATATAATGGTTGATCCATGTACATAGGAGCGAACAGCGTGTATAAATTACTTGAGCGAGGGGACTTGGATGCAGTGTAAATTCAAGTAGAACCGGTGAGCTTTGTACGTATAGTACGGTACATAATGACTGCGTATAGCAGAAGTCAGCGCTCAGTAAATACTTAGGGATTATTGCTTGTGATTGGAGTGCACTTTTAGATGCTCAACAGATCCGGAAGAATGTGCCAATCAGGAGCGATGATAATTAAGCGCCATTTTTGCAGGCAACGCGAAATGACGAATGAACGGGCGACTGAGAGGCGGTTTCGAGCCGAGAGAACTCGGGGGAGGGGGAGGGGGGAAGAGGAAAACACAAGTCAGCACGAGAGGGTTAATTAATGACCAGCGGGTTTTACCAGAGCAAATCGAACGTGTTGATAAACAGAGAGTTTCTAATTCGAAAATCCGATTCACCTCGCTCCCGTTTTGTCTGTCGCCATTGTATATCGGGGACGTCAATCAAATTTTTGCGTAGACAGGCAACATCGAATGGACATTTCCCTCGTCGTCGCGTATGCGGCAACAACGTTCTCCTGTTCTCCCGACCTGAAAACATTGCCTACAAAAGTTCAAGACTGCTTGGACATGTGGCCTATGTAATTAACTCTATTAAAGAAAAACCGAAACGTCGATTACACTGAATTTCTAACTTAAGAACAATAAAAAAATACGCTTCCTGGAACGCTCGAAACGGAAAGAGCGTCCACGAATCTAAATGTGTTCATCGAGGGCAATGTTTTCAGGCGGAGTACTTCTAATAGTGAAAAGGAAAAAAAAAATAAAACAGAAACGAAGGACAAGAATACCTTCTTCTGATCATCAGACCTCTGAAATCATCGCTTACGCGATATGTACACACACACACACACACACATATACACACACAGCCATAAACATATTCCCATATACATACATATATGGCTCACTAGGTAGGAATCGACTAGCTCGGTGATCGTCGATGCGATCGAGTTGCCTCAATACGATTCTGCGGCGAATCGGAATGTTCTGTCTTGTTCGAACCTTCATCAGGAATTCTCGATTCAATGGCATTTCTCGGTACACGAGGTTGAAGGCAAGTGCAGAGCGACGCGACGGCGTTATCGATCGAAACGAAACCGCGACTCGATCTTTAACTCGATCCCTCACGTTCGACGAAAGTACCATGTGTTCTTGTATTTAAAGGTATCTTACCTACCTTACATACCTACATACCTATCTACCTATCTACACGAACTCTTTTGTAACTTCCGCGAGAGTGAAAAGTGAGTGAGAGAGAGAGAGAGAGAGAGAGAGAGAGAGAGAGAGAGAGAGAGAGAGAGAGAGAGAGATTTTTTCCTTTTTATTTTATAATCCGCGGACCCGAGCGAACGCGGTCATTTGCCGGGCTCTCGCGGCTCTACGATTCCTGTCGTATCGTTTTTTCAGTCAGGGTACCAACGCGCCGCGCGCGTTCCAGCGTCTCAACCGTGTACATACGTTCAACACGACTAAGTCCTATCATTTAAATCATTAAGTGCGATAAGGGAATATCATCTCTGTACATATAGGCAAAATAAAATGGAGTTTATGACAGACATCATCGTCTTGTTCTGTCGCATCACTCATCTCATCCAGAGACTGCGATTTATTATTTAGGACCAGTTTTTTAATAGTAGATTAAACCAGGGCTGTGAAAGAGTTTATACGTTAATTATGATATTCTACATTTATCTGTAGACAACGTAAATCCTGTATGAGATGTAGACAATGAATTATCTATGGATTTCGTTCAAAAAACATATGGCTTGCTCTCTAAAATTAATTAAGAAGTTTGTATTTTTATTTAACTTTTAGAATGTGTTGATGTTATTTAAATTTATGAACGTTGTTAAACAATTTAAGTTTCATAAAATTTTCTAAATTATTACCTTTTTAGAGTAAATTTATCAACTTCTCGTACGATGAAATAAAAATTTCATGCAACACTCGATTAAAAATCTAAAATAGCACTTTAGATAAAGGTGCTTCGCAGTTCGTCTGCGATTATGGTAAATTATTCAAGGTAATTTTCATCACGATTGACCGAGAAACGATATTACATGCGTGCAGTCAGAGTTAGACGTTTACGCATAAATTACAATATTCTACTTTTATCTTGAATGTTAATGGAATGCACTTTTTACGCTTGATGCTTATGTTAATATTAATGCTAACTCTTAATACAATTTTTACAGCATTGTTCATTTTTGATGCGTTTTGATGCTATATGACTAACGACATATAGCGTCATTTATAGGGTATTGCATGAATATTCTCTTAACAGGAGATTATTTGACAACTGAAGAAGGTTATGGAAGCCTTTCCTTTTTTTTGAAGGTATTGTTCTAGAATAAAGTAGAGCATAAATTACTTTCAATTTAAAATTCATTAATAGGTGAATAGGTAGTATGTATATGCTATAAACAGTATACTCTATTAAGTGTTTGCAAAAGTTCATCACAAATAGATGGCTGTAGCAGCGATTTAGTAATTATTTTCTTTTAAGTTGTTTTTTAGTTTTTAAATATTGACGATCAGAATTGTGATAGTTGACAATTTGTATTTCTCAATAAAACGTTATATTTCATGTGATTAAAAATGGAACCAGATAATGTTCATCATTGCCACTGCATACCACAGTTTTACCACTTTAATAGGGGTGAAACTGTTGCAACAACTAAAAAACAGGGAGAGACAGGGAGAGACAAGGAGAGACAGGGAGAGACGGGGAGAGACAGGAAGAGACAGTGAGAGACAGGGAGAGACATGGAGAGGCAGGGAGAGACGGGGAGAGACAGGAAGAGACAGCGAGAGACAGGGAGAGACAGGGAGAGACATGGAGAGACAGGGAGAGACAGGCAAGGACAGGGAGAGACAGGGAGAGACATGGAGAGACAGGGAGAGGCAGGGAGAGACGGGGAGAGACAGGAAGAGACAGCGAGAGACAGGGAGAAACATGGAGAGACAGGGAGAGACACGGAGAGACTGGGAGAGACAGGAAGAGACAGAGAGAGACAGGCAGGGACAGGGAGAGACAGGAAGAGACATGGAGAGACAAGGAGAAACAGGGAGAGATAGGAAGAGATAGGGAGAGACAGGCAGGGACAGGGAGAGACAGGGAGAGACAGAAAGAGACAAGAAGGGACAGGGAGAGACATGAATAAAAGAGGAATCAATAAAAGGATAAGTCAATAAAAAATGAAGAGAACAAGGAAGAAGATGTGTAAAGAAGTTAAAGAAAAGGAATATCAAAGTTATAGAACGCATAATAGTAATGAAATAATGCAACAAAATAATCAGGAAAATAAGAGAGCAGAATAAAAGACAATGAGAAAGAAAATTAAAATCGTATGCTTAAATAAGTGAATGAGAGAGAGAGGGAGAGAAGGAGAGAGAGAATGAGAGAGGAGAGGGGGGACAAGGAGAGACAGAGAGAGAGAGGTTAGAATCCCGATATAAATTTCTAAACATTGTTTTGAGAAAACGTTAAAAGCTAGAGAATTCTCTGATTGCATCCTAACCTTTTCAGAACTAAATTTACTAATTTGTCACATAATGAAATGGAAATTTTATACAATTTGTTATCTCTCTTAAATATTACATTTATTAATACCCAAAAAAGATATCGTAACTATCTCATAGTTTAATTACTTTTCTTTGTTTTATTATATTTTACTATTATTTTTTATTATATACTTTTATATCTATATTTTATATATTTTATATTTTTATTATTTATGTTTATATTTTATACTATTTATATTTTATATTATTTTATATATTTTATATTTTTATTATTTATATATTTATATTTTATATTATTTTATCTATTTTATATAATTTTGTATTATACTTTAATATAATTTTCAATATTCTATATAATTTATTTTGTTTATACACGAAATATGTCCATGTGTACATCACGATAAAAATGCGTAAATAATCCGCGTAGATATAATTTTGATATCTGTAGCACAATCCTGCTATAAACAAAGCAGTCAGGTTACGATTACGTGTGAGAAAACGACATTTCGAGCGATTTCAAATAATAATGAAAGTGGGATCACCAGCGATCGTTCGAAAGCGACCGCGCGCCGTCGTGACCCACGGTAACGTCGCTGGTGCAGTGGGAATGAAAAATGGCCGCGAACGTGAGAACAGGTGAGTGGTATAGGACGAATGCGAATAGTCGGTGTGTCGCACTCGCGGTCCTGTTTCAGCGCGATTTTGTCGCTCATAGACGCTTCCGTTGCGAAAAGTCGGGACGCGTTGTCACACGAGCGTTCCCTCGCGCTCGTCCGTCGTCGTTTCACGACAAGGAGAGCTGCTCGATAACGCTCCTTGTCTCGTGAACGACAGCAACAGCAGCGCGACAAACTCGTGTGTGGTGGCTCGAATTTTCCAGGCGCGATTATTAGTAGATGAGATAAGCGTATGTGCGCGTGCAATACGCGTCACGCTTATCGGAACGAGTCGTATCGCTGATATTTCCGGTGGGCGTAAAATATCGCTAGTCAAGTGAGCGAACGCGTCGATGCCTAGCGAATCGCGTCAACGGCGACGTATTTGACACGTATATATCGCGTATAGTGGCGTCTATCAGGGCGCGCGAGCACGCACTTTGCTTTGGAAAATTTCTCGTTTCTTTATTCGAGTCGCACGCGCGCGCGCGCGCACGTGTGTGTGTGTGTGTGCGTGCGCGCGCACTAACGCGCGTTAATAATATCGTTTGTTTGTCACTCGCCGTGCATATGCGTGAATGTGCCAGCGTGTACGAGAAACGGACCACACGAGCTCTTGGAGCTGCGTAGACTCTGATCCCGACGTCTGCCCAATTGCTTACAGAGATGCGGATTCCAACGCGTGCGGCGCCTCGTCCTCCTGGCCACAATGTGACGCAGAGGGAGCCGATTTGGGGCAGCAGGTTAGAAGCTTCTTATCTCGTTACCTTATTATCCTGTGCGACTCAGAGCGGAGACCTGTTTTCGGATCCCATCGATTCTCTTGACATGCTGATTTTGTGTACTTTCAGCAATGACATATTCGGGAGTGGTCTGACAGCGACTCAACCTGTACAGAAGAAGAAACCACCTCCTAGGCCACCACCACCGAAGCTCAACCACATGCAGTGTCAGAAAGACCAGAAACCGAGGAAACCAGTAAGAATCATAAGTTGTTTAGTATTGCTTGTATTTCTTCACGTTGACGTCAATAAGACGTTTTTGCAAAATAGTTTATATTTACTGGCACATATACTTCCTGCAGTGAACTAAAAAATGTGTTGTGCTTGTGTCCTAAACCTGTGTTATGAACCTAGTGTGTGTGTGCTGTGTGCGTGTGTATCTATTTATTTGAAGTAAAAGTAAAATAATAAAGCAAAATATAATGCAAAGTAATAAAATAAAAGAAGTATTCTTCATGCACTTATCTGGCTATGTTATCACTTAGTAGACAGTCCAGTCTCTATTATTGTCGATTTTTGCTTGGCATTGTTTGAACATGCTTTCAACTAATTTTTTAACATATTCTATAGAAAGTGAGCGCCAGATTTCTCGACGACGTAGTGACAATTATTTTGGGCAGTAAATACACGTTTTCCTTGGGCTTCTTCTTCATAAGACCTCAAATGTTTTCAATTGGACTCGCGTCCGTTGATTGTATAGGCCAGTCTACAGTCATTCGTGCTATTTTCCTCTTTCCACACAATGCACTGATGACTTTGATGTTTGGTATTGTTGTCTTCATAGGATATTCAACTGGCTCTTTCTTCTCAAACCCACTTCTTAGCAGATTTCAACGAATCTTGTTGATAAATCTTCATCATGTTTTGTGCATTGAGATTTTTGGTGAACAGAATTGAAGCTCCACAAAATTAGTCCTAGGCAAATGCTTAGGCAATTAACACAAAACCAGAGTTCAATATCACGGAAAGTTGCTTAATAGGCGTTTATCAAATTGTGAAACATTTTTGGCTGGGAAAGAATTCAAGAAAAACAAGACAAACCCTAACCTACTGGTGGTTATAGGTTTGCTCGCGTTGCGTCTGTCTTTGTCTAATTTGAAGAAAAGACAAAAAAAAAGACATTTGATTTAACTGTCAGGTAGTTTACCAAGAGGTTAGAACAGTCGGCCCTTAAATTGTACATACATTTCCTCAATGATGTGATCCTCGAATATATACTTCGAATATTAAAGTAACCCCAAATATGAATTCTTATTGGGTGCTTAACAGTGCGTATCAACAATTAGCGACTGTGTGTAGACCAAGCACGATTCACACATACTCATGCCCAAAAAGAAGCTGTGTCAGAAAATATAATTTCGCTTCAATCATAGTCGATGTTTAACCTTGCCCAGTTTAGTCCTTTTTCAATATGCTTTTCACTAAGCGACGATTTCTCACGTGTACTTTGCCAAACAAGCTTCACTTCTTCTGAATGGTGTCTGATGGTCATTAGATCAATCTTTATTCTGCTTTTAGCTAGCTTCTTTTGAGCTTATGTCAAAGTTAACAAAGGATTTTGTTTGATACCTGTCTAACTCCGAAGCTGTTCGGATTCGGACATATGTTTATTAGGCAGTTGCAACTTGTTTTTATATGCTATAGCCGCGGTACTATTTTTGGCACTGAGTTCAAGGTCACCTTGTATATTATTTAATTATGGATTACTTCTTGCGTAATTTTACGTATATTAACATTATTTTACGTATAACATTATTCTTTTAAATGCAATAGCATTTTGTTCTGTACACCAGGCCAGGCCGACAGAGCTGTTAACTAACTTCTTTGGGCGGAAGAAGCAAGAGACCTCTCTTCCACTACGTACCACTACTGGCCAGCTACATAATCAAGTATTGCAATCTGCGAGCACCACTGCGACAGTGTCTCTGATAGATCTCAGTCCACCTGGTTCGCCAACGTTCACGACACGCTCCAGTAGCGACGGCGTCAGCGTTGATAGTTTCGGTAGTGACGGGAATTCCAATCCGTCTGTGTTCACGAGCAGCGGAAACACGTCGGAAAGTGCCTTTGAGGATGACTTCGACTTTTTCGGTTTATCCGCCAAGAAAACGGCGCAGAACGATCCGTGGCAAGCCAAGGCGACGGCACAGAATCCGTTCGGACCATTAGAGGATGCATGCTCAAGCGTGTCTCAGAGCGCTGGCGATACGTGCCTCTTGTCTCTCAGTTCTAACGTTAATCGCGTTGCGAAACAAGTGCCTTCCATTCAGACCATTTGCAAGCCCCCTATTACGTCAATGCCCACGATAATACGGGCGAGACCTCCTAAGCCGCCAGCGCCGAAGATACTTTCGAAGAAGTTCGAGCCGATAGTCAAGGAGGCATGTATCGATTACAAACTTCCAGACAACGGCACAGCAAATAAACCGTTAACATTAGGCTTCACTATTTCGGGCAGCGGTACAACGAATAAACCGTTGACATGGGATTTTTCCAATGCGTGGTCCAATAACTACGACGATGACGACAGTCCATCGCCACCTATGCCGACGATTCCACCGCCAGCACCTCCAGCAGATTATCTGGCTGAATTAAATGGTGATCTTGGGGTGAGCACTGAGAACTGAATTTAAACAGGAATTGTATTAAGTTGGTGCACAAAAGGATATTATGTCTGTCGAATAAAATAGAAATTATTTAATTTCGTAAGATTATTAATTTTTACGAATTTTTTTACGAAATGCACAATATCGACTCGGTATTTTTTTAAGATTTAAGAAAACGACTTCCTATTTTCCTTTTAATACACAAACTTCCAGAATTTAAAAGAAAAACGACAAACCTTTTGCACCAATTTAATATTTAATTGTAATAATACGGTGTGTCCCATATTTACGAGGAACCATTAGGAAAAATTTGTTAATTTATAAATTTACAGGAAAATCGCGATAAACCTTACGGTATCGCGCTGTACGACTTCCCAGCGACACATCCTGATGACTTGTCTCTGAAGGAGGGCGACTTCGTGCAGTTGTTGAAGAAGATAAACGATGACTGGTTAGAGGGAAGAATAGGGAATCGTCAAGGAATGTTTCCATTTAATTTCATCGATATCAAAGTACCTCTGCCAGGCTTACCGGACAACATGGTTACGGCACTCTATACTTTTCACGGAGAGAGCAGTGACGATTTATCGTTTGAGGTATATAAAACTTTACGATGATGTAAATAAACAAGAAAGAATAATGTAAAAGAGCCAAAATTTGCTCGCAAGGGAAATATATGAAATCTATTTTTATCTTTTTGAGTCTGCTGAACTCGAATATAAACTTTAAAATTGTCCAAATCCCGGGGAACTTTGTGAAAATGAAAATTTTTCTACAGAAAAACCTCGTTTTTCAGTAAATACTTTTGGTATTTAAACTATTTTAAATTTCATATTCGAGTTTAGCAAATAAAAAGATATAATGATAGGCCGCTTTTGTACATTTCTCTTATGGGCAAATTTTGATCCTTTTAAAGCATTGTTTTTTATTGCATTTTTAATATTACAGGAGGGAGCGAAAATTGCGGTCATATCGAGGATATCAGAAGATTGGTTATACGGTGAGTACAACGGTAGAAAAGGACAGTTCCCAGTAAATCATGTGAATAGACTTCCGCGTAATATCTAAGGTACTGTCCTACATTGAGTATTTTTTATCGAGAGTATTAACAATTCGAATGTTCCGAAACCTCCACATTGCAAGCATTATCTAGAGTTATTAGACAAATTTAAGAGAAAGCAGCAAACAAAGAAATGAAAAAAACGAGTCTTTTATAGTGGAATTTTGAGCACGAGGAAAGAAAACAAATTTTATAAAATTTTACCAACAAAAAAAGACTGAATTATATACGATTTTTTATCATCGTGTTCCAATAAAAATTGTTTTTGAAAATGATTGTAATATTATTGTTAGAAATTAGAAAATAGTATTTCTTCTACGTTCATATTCATTGGTGATATTTATATTAAATAGATTATTTCTTTTTTAAAGACTTCACACTTTGCTTCACAATTTGTTTGCAATATATCACGAAGGATGCTGCTGTTGAAAGATCATATAAATTCATATTTCTCATTTCGGAACTTCATATACACATCTGATAGCTCTAAAAGACCAGTTATATAATATCTTTATATACTTCATATTTTTTCTCGTCTAACAGAAAAAAGAAAAAAAGGACATTCTTGTACATTGTTTATTTTCCATATCCGATTCAGGTCGTCTTTAATGTGACTTCTTCGAGAATTTTATTTATTTGGACACATTTTTGTAAGAATAAAAACTGAAATATCTTGTTTTCTGTTATATATATATATATATATGTATGAAATTATTATTTAAATATTGTGTGCTTGTAAGGCATAAAGCAGCATTGTCTGCCAATGTGTACAAATAATGAATGCTAACTTATAAAAGAATAGAGCTCACTTTATTTTATTAAACGTTCGTCTCGTGTGTGATTTGAAGAGTTCATTCTTCTCTCATAATCGAATTTATGAGCAATTAAAGTGAAAGATATTCTTCGTTGCGTGATTAATATTTAGATAGGATATTATCTTTTAGAAATCTTTAGACATTTACAAACAATAAGATATAGAATTGTATGTATATACATGCAGAGAGAACTATTTTAATCCTTATCCGAAAATTTCTTTTATTTGCACATGAAAAAAAAGGGATTCTTAGGCGAGGACATTAAAATGGCCTCTCCTGTACATATGTTCTGTAGCTTTCTTCATACTGTATATATTGTTTGAATTTAATAGTGTTTGAAATTAGGAAATAATTCAATATTTCTTCTTTATTTATACATCGTAAATAGTTTCCTGTTAAACATAAAGTTTAGATTAAAAATAGTTATCTCAGCATAATACGTTGTACATTTATATTATATTATACATGTGTATGTGTATTTCGTTTAATTTAGAGCATATTATATTTAGAATTATTAAAAGTTACCAACATAATGATGGTACATCATATGTATTACGTGACATACGTCTGTGTATATTACGTGAATGCATAATGAAGTAAAGACGTAGTTTAAATAATTCCTTATACATTTAATTTAACGTTAACATGAATAAATGCTTTTTTGTATATATATATACTTAATCATGTGTTCGCAAAATTCACGCAAGTCATGTAATTAGATTCAGTGAAAGTCTAACTTAGCACATGCATCGATATATTGAAATGTTTCATCTGTACGCAAAGATGCCAAGTCGTTAGTTGATGTTACGAGAAATGAAAAAGAAAATCAACGGTTCGCCGGTTAATTTCTGTATCGTTCTAAGTTATTATATATTGTTAAACACACAAGTGACGTATGTTTCAATTGTATGTCTCACTTTACTTGAAATTCTCATTTAGTACAGTATTAACGCGATATTTCCGTCACATCGAAGGTCTGCATCGGGACCAGCATCTTAGATTGTAAGGAACAGGAGATTAGGGAGAAAAGACGGGTGGTAATAGCAAAGTCAAAAGTTATATCCAAAATGTAATAACAGATACTTTACATATAAGTAGTGCTATTTAATTCTCTCGAGAAACTACGCTATTATGCAAGAAACGCCTAATACGCAATGTGATATTTTGCAATGTTTAATATAAAAAAAAAAAACATTTTACACAGACACACACACATACACGCACTATACCATACACACGTACACATCTATGTATACAAAAACGAACTAGTAAAACAAAAACGAACTAGTAAAAATAAATAGAATTTCCTGTATCTAACAGTTATTTCCAGAAATAGGCAAAAGAGATATTGTTTGTATCGTATACAATAATCTACAAGTGATAATTAGACATATTAGGTTGGATATGTATTGGTCCTCAACGCAATAAACGACAAGTACGAGCTATATGCGTAAAAGAGTTTTGATCTTTCGGTGTATTTTGCTTGTTTATAATTAAACATTAGTGCTAATTCTTTCGTTGACGTTGTCTCGCGCAACATTAGCGTCGATAAATCGATTATTTCGCGTGACAGCTCTTATCAACAACACACTTGTAGATCGCACAGTCGTGAAGTGTTTGTGACAATTGTTCCACGTATTACATCTCAAGATACCTTTATAGCACGGTAGATTTGAGTTCGTGTAATTTTTCAGCGTTTGCGTCACGACACTCCGGAATTTCTTCCCCGTCAGGTAATACAGGAAGAAATTGATTGCAAAATTCCAATGGTATATGTGAAAGAATAGGCCGCGGCACCATTTGAGAAACATTTTCTCTTGAAGCCTGAAAAATGTGTCAAATGTTTTCGAATTAGAAAATTTTTACTTGCACTCACGCTAGAAGAACGGAGGTAATTAGAATAAATGAAAGTTTTAGTGCAACATTTTTTCGTATTTGTAATTTTTTATTAAATTATAAATAAATCGTAATAAAAGTTCGCAAATTGTAGTAAATTATAAAAAATTGCTTGTTAGAAGTGCAAATTTAAAAGAAAAACAAAATTGTTGGTTAAACTAACTTTATTTTATATGAATATGAAACATTCGTTGCCAGGTTGCATAAAAAAAAAAAAAAAAAAAAAAAGAAAGGTGCAACAGACGGGGATTGAACCTGGGTCGACTGCATGAACAGTCGCTAACAAGGGGCTTACTGCCTGAATTACATCACCTTCTCGACGTGATCGGTTTTAAATCTTTTTTTTTTTTTAAACTATATAAAAACCTTTTTCAATTTTGTGATTCCACACATAAGTCCACGCCCTTGTTATAAATCTAATATACGCCATCACGGACAGATATTTTTATAGATATTAGGTATTCTTACCAGTGTACATATCGCTCATTTTTTTCCGCATCTTTGGCGGGATGTTCGATTAAAATTATATCCCAATAAAGTTCCAACGTTTCCACGATTCCGAGTGGCAGTAAGAGAATCAAATATACTATCGATACCGCAAGCAAAGTCCGGCTGGAATTATGCGTTCTGTTACTTTTGTACCTGAAATGATCTGAAGCGAGAGTTCGTCTTGTATAAATCTATAATTATGATGTTACTGCACACGTAACCAATTACGAGCGTGACTCACGAGTTAACTCGTTGTGAATTTTATAGGATTTCCTCACGCGAATAATCAACAGCAAGTTACCGATGAATATAAAGAGCAGGGGTAGCCACGTAGACAGAGCTATGTAGAAGTACATAGCGCTACCCCATGGCTGTATCATCTCTTGACATGGTATAAACTCGAAAACACTGTCAGTTTCGTATCCTATAATTAGAATAACTTATAATCCGTTTCTTTCAACAAAAGTTTAGACAGAAGTAAAAGATTAATTGAAAATGAAATGTAGTACATGGACGCTATAAATATTCTTTCGAACGATTCGAAATATTCTATTCTAACGAAGAAGGTTGATCTAACTGCATAATATGAATAATCATATCTCTAGATAGAAGATTAATTAAATAACAGATGATATATACATTGAATTAATGTCTTTGATAATCGAATATTTATTCAACTGAAGGAAATTATTACAACAATTCCCTCAAGATTGTTGAAAATATTATGATTATGACACAGTAGGCCAACTCTATTAGTATATTTTTTTCGTGTAACAACGGTAATCAGATCGTTCAAGTTGCGAGAGAAAGAATGCGACTTGATCATGGAAAATACACTCTACCTCCAGAGTACAACTTCGTTAAGGATATCACGAAACTTATGCAGGTCAAAGTGGCGATGGTTATAATCGCCGAGCAATTCTGACAACCACGAGTTCGAAATGGAAACGTTACCGCGATCACTCGCGTCCACGTGAGAGCGACTACCAGCCAGGTCGACGTGAATTGAAAGAGCTCCATGCTCACGGAACTCGTGCTACATAAGAACCTGCTATTCTGAAAGAAAATATTATCCTGAACGTCGCGTGATCCTCTACATTTTATCCTCTCACTGACAATGACTGCCTTCCGTTAGATGAAGGTTTTCATCAGGCTTCACTTTCTTCGATCTGATTTATCATAGACTTACAGTTGGGATCATTTTATAATTATAAATCTCAAATACGTCACAGATCACACTAGGAGGAAATAAAGCAATGATCAATTTTGCTAGATCACTGATGGCAGCGACGATTTTTTATGCAAATATATACAGGAAGATATCATTTTACTGCTAAGAGAAGCAATTACTCAGTTCCTTCTTTTAAATAATGGCTATCTTCAACAAATAATATTTTCTTGATAGCAGTTTTAAAGTATATTCATTACAAATTCTAGAGAAGCTTATTATCATATATTGAGAAGAAGAATTTATTTTCTTTACAAGAATATTATAAAATTTTACTGAAAAAATATTGGTTCGATTCTAACAGTAGAAAGCAAGTCAACTTCTTAATTTAATATTCTTGATTGAAATACTGAATTTGCTAAGATTCAGAGTATGTGAATAAATTTGACACTTATGATGAATTTGTGATGATAGACTTGAGGATGTACAAACTTATAAAATACTTAACACAAGTAATATTTACTTGAATACAGTATATATTTCTCTGTGTGGATTAGTCAAAAAGTTTGGTTCGATTTTCCGTTTTTGACGATAAACTTTTTAGATCAAGATTTACAAATATTGCTAGAACGTTGATAAAGTATTAATAAACAATGACGACAATTACTTGGAACGAACGATGAATCCAATTTGTTGTCATTGAATGCGACAAAAGTCAAGTTTGAAAAAATCAAACCGAACTCTCTGACTGAATGGGGAGACAGTCTTGCAGCGAGAGGACTATTTAACGACGTGAAACTCCGATTGCACAATCGAAGTACGTTTCACGTAAAGCATTACCATAAAGAGATCGTTAACGAACGTGGAGTGTGATCTCGCGACGCTGACGGCATAACTGAAAATCAACGCTCCATTGTCCGAAATAGCGAGCGCCCTTAGATAAAGTGACAAATTGGAGTCACATAGCACGGGCGTGCTCAACATACTAAAAGATACAGTATTTAGCAATACACCTATACGAAGTGAGTTACAGCTTTAAATGAGAACAGTCAGGTTTCACGGCGACGCGACGAGTATTCCTTACCGAGTATTATGATGAACGGCGTCACGTAACCGATTAAAACGCGGACGAACTTGACGAACGGCTGTAATGACAGCCAGTAGAAGCGCACCTCGCATGGCCATGTGATTTCTAAGTCAGTTTGAGTGAAATTATATATGAAATCCATAACCGTCACGGGCAGAGGACATCTCGGCGCAGCTCTGAAATTGTAAGGACGCAATCCATCAGCGGTGTTAGGCACTAGTTGATTCAGATTTTAGTTCATCACGACAATCGGTAAATCATTCATCAAAATTAATCAGTCAGTATATATATAATTACGAATAATTGACATTTTCCAAAGGCTTTGCTTGCGATGACGCTGTTTGCTTTTGCATCAGTAATAGGAAAATGTCAAAGTTTGGAAGTAACGCCGTTACTATTACAATTACTTTTTCTCGGTAATGATCGCTACTTTTTTTGTTTGTAATGGTAACAAATTCAACTGTTACTCTTATTGTTATTTTCGTTACCTCTATTCAATAGATAATGCGCTGGTTGTGCGCTGATAGGGTGTATTAGATATTCTTGGTTGGAGAGAAATATCTCGATATTCGCTGGAAGACAGTCCGTGGTTTTATCTTATTCTTTATATAAAAATTATTGTTAATACAAAGGCGGAGATTTTGCAATTTAATTTTTCAAAATTTTTTAAAAATTTAATAATAAGTATGTTCTTAGTATGCAGGAATGTGGTTCATTTTCTTTTCAAAAAACCATGGAACAAGTGTATATGTGTGTATTACACTAAGCATGCTTATTAAATTTATTAAAAATTTTTGAGAGTCAAATTGCAAAATCTGCTCTGTGCCAACAATAATTCTTGTGTAAAGAATAATAAAAGATAAGAAGAATAGAATCAAGCTCATAAAGAAATATTAGTTCTTCGAATCAAGATATTGCAGTTTTGAATGGTTTATTCTTTTGAGATAAACTGGCTACATTATAAATTAAGCTTAAAAACAATAATTTCATCTTAAAATAAATTACGTATTGTACTATAAGAAAAAGTAACGAACCGTTATTTTTTTAGTAACGGTTACTTTTTAAAATTAGTAACGAGCAAAGAGTTATTTTTTACGAAGAGTAACGGTAATGCGTTACTTTTTCTAAATAATGTTTCCAACTCTGAGAAATGTCGCTATTATTAACTGATTCTATCAATGGGATTTTACTGATTACAGTGTCTATACTTACAACTGAGATTTGTAACTGTCAGTTATCATAATATCATTCCAACGAAGAATACACGGAATACATAATATTTTATAGAAAACATATGAACACATGTGTATAAGAAAGAAATTTGCGAAATACACGTTCGTGACACCTTTTATATGTAAAGGCACAATTGTATATTCCCCTATCAATAAAAATTTCATTAATTTAATTAATTTCAAGCCGAATTACAGATTGTTAACGGTCATATTGAACTTTCTTCGAGCTAATTAACAAAAATGTTTCTGACTAAATCAGTAAAAGGAATATTACACCAATAATCACTGAGTGTTCGTTGTTAGTCGTGCCGAACGAACTGCGACTCAGACTCTCGTTCAGTCTTCTCTTCAAGCTCTATCGATCGCACCTCCGTACGATTTACCGTTAATTAATGAATTGTAACGCTTTCTTACCCGATGTCGTGCGCCGAGGAGAGCTCGTCGGCGAGGACCGATCGCGACAGCATATTCGCGAGGAGTATCAACGCACGGGTGTCTTGATCGCGCAACGGGGAAAACATTTGGCCGCGTCGCGCGAAAATAATCCGGGAACCTGAATCGGACGCGTAGCCCGCTGCTACTACGACGGAGGAAGAGAGGAATTATCCACCCTGCAGTATGGCTATGACTAACAATGAAGTCGGCACTAATTAGAAGCTGCGGAGCATCTGTCGTCGATTACCATAACGTGACGTATCGCGCGCGAGGATAAATAACGTCTCGGTGCAGAAGAAACGGCCTGCGCGTTGCTACATATCCCGGAGTGCATTAACACCGTGCGTATTCGAGCGACACGGCGATTTCGCGGATAGGACGAAAACGCACTCCGAGAACGAGGGAATCGGATATTACAGGTCGCAGAAGTGACGCCAGTTACGATTGGTGAAAAGGAAAAAAATATATCACGAAGCAGGTCATGTTGTAGATTATTAAGGTGATCAGACGTTCCGTTTTTACCGAGACAATCCTGGTTTTTCACCCTGTTTCGGATTTTTTTGAATATTATCCGGAACGCCGATTTGTTCTGGATTCGGTTAAACTATCCAGGTTCACAGGAATTATTGAATGCTTCTGACAAAGAAAGATCTCAAGAAAATTCACAGATCTATAATATAGTAGCTTTGTTTTTTCTTCTTAACTTAAAAAGAAAGTAACAACAGTTTTATCTTAGCAATAGTTTTTACTGTATGTAACAGGCCTTCATTATCGTTAAATTATTTTTCATGTCTATAAATTTAATTATTATAAATTAGATTTATTATAAACTATTATATGTCTATAAATAAAATATTGTTTCATATGTATGTATATATATAAAATTTTCAGTGATGTCTCTTTCTCTCTTCCTTCTGCCTTCCACACGTTTATAAAGTGTCTCGGGGCGAGAAATCTAGTCACCTTAGATTAATCCGACTGAGCGACGTTAATATTCGGCCGTCGAAGAAAATATCGTTCGATTGGAATGTCGTGTTCAGAGTACAGTTGAATGTTTATGCGGTATTATAATTTATTAAATTATAATACCGTAATTATAATGATTATATGTTAGGGGAACATCCCTCTTTTTCCCTGAATTACTTCAGAAATGTTCATTTTATTTAATTTGTAGAAATTTGATGTAAATTTATAAACGTTGTTTCCTGAACAAGTTAGAGAATCCACAGAATATTTTCTGGTTATATTCTAACCTTTAGAGTTAAATTTACTAATATATCGCATAACAAAATAAAAATTTCATACAATTAATTTTTTTAACATTAAATTTATGATTATCTTTGGGTAATATTCAAAACGATAACTGTCTCTTAGAATTTAATTATCTTCTTTCTGTATTTTAATATAATTCACAATATCCTGTATTGTTTACATTGCTTATGTAAAAGAGGACAATCGTGTAGACAATACGTAAACAATCCGCGTGGTAGACGTAATCTTGAAATCACAATTCTGGTTCAGAAAACTCAAGCGTCGTACAGTCGTAAACCTTTATTTTCAAACTGAGAAAAACAGTTAACACTGGTACACAAACGGTCACACGACCAACGAAAGACACGCGAGAGGATTAGTTGTCATACGATCAATCGCATTGTACACGTCGACTGTTAATTAAAAAAAAAAAAAAAAATGACAAAAGAAAAAGCACGAAATTATATATATATATATATATATATATATATATATATATATATATATATATATATATATAT